GTATGTTGTGACAAAAGATGTGAGATTACTTGTAGCCCTTCAGTCAGGAAGCCGCCAGGTGGGATAGCTTAAAGCAGGAAATGGACATACCTGCCTGGAGGCCCAGATTCACAGCGTTGAATCTTTATATCAGATCAACACTTTGTGAAACAAAAGCCATTTTCTTTAAGAACAATCACGTTGTGTTATAGAGACTGTATTCAATTCTACCCTGGAGGAGAAACTTTCTCTATGATATCAAAAGATGTCAGTTGCTGAGGTAAGGATAAAACAAATGAAGTGGTTGTTTATTGTACTCACAAGAAGGTTTTCAGAAGAGAGGGGGAAAATGAGAATGAATGAAAGAAAAATAGGTGAAATGGGAGTCTGAGAAACAAATTCCCTGTATCCTTTCCTTTGTTTGCTTCTGTCTGAGGTCAGAAACCTGAATCCATCAGACAGTCTGGAAAAGGCCATTCTGTAATTTACACTATTAACTGCAATAAACCTGATTTTCACACACGACAGAGTTTTTACCGTTGAATTAAGCTTCTGTACTTCAAAGCAAATTGCGTGAAAGAGATCTCTCTTTTCCTTTTCTATCTCACTTTCTTTCTTTTGGAGGCCAAATGAGCTCAGACTATAGCTTTAGTTTCAAAACTTTAGTTAATGCCTGACTTTTTAAGATTTACTGTACATACGCAGAACAACTTGTGCTCCTTACAAGAAATGCATGGAAGACTCAACTCAAAATGAATTCCAATAGAGACTAATGTTAGCATGTTGCTAATGCAATAATCAGCATAAAAATACACAACACCACAAATAGTGCTCCTTAGCATAATACACTAATACGCAACAATGCAATTGCACAGCACATGTATCTTCTGGAAAGTTTTCACCGACAGAGTTTCCTAATTAATGTTTGTGGGGCAGATGCCCATATAATTCCACCCATGATAAAAATAAGGACATATAAATAGTTGTTCACTTCACTCCTTCCAACAGTCCTTCCGGAATCCCTCCTCCACTTCAGATCTGTTTTTACTCTCTCTATACACTATTAAACATTTCCACCCACTTTTGGGAAAACTGAAGATTAATTGCCAAAGTGGTTTTTACCATTTAAATTTTGCTTACTGATAAAGAAAATGTGTCAAGTAAATTTCTGAAAACTATAGACTAAAGATAGACAGTCACATAGACAGACAGACAGACCAGTGACCAATGAACACTTTTGGTTCTGAAATTTGATTGGCTGAGCCTCATTCAAAGATGTTATATAATAAAAAAGGATAAACACCTGTGACCATTTGAATAAACCCAATAATCTTAAAATTATTAAACATTGGCACATAAAAGAGATGTGTGCTGCTATGTTTCTAAGTGATGTTACAATTATTCCACGGTGGATCACAGAATGGGCAAAATTGTCAAAACAGTTCATTTTTAAATCATCAGAATTTCTTGTTATTGAAAATATGTATTTTAATCCACAGTTCAACATTATAATAAAGTACACTTCTGGCCTCACTGCCTTTTTGGAACAGACTTCACAGTGAAGTGCACCTGCTAGGCAGCTTTGAAACACTATGGCCATGTTGTTGGTATAAGTACTACAAATCACACCCACACATGCTCATCACACAACACTTACTTAGATGTCACTATCACAACAAAGTCACACGAATGACTCACATTGGCCCTATTGTGCCTTCAAACACACCCAAACTGGTGGTTTAAAGTATAGAAAGCATGTTTAAGTCCTAAAACCAACATCTAACTGCATTTGAGGGAAAGACAAGAGGGTCTAGCTGCAGCCTTGTACTTGCACTCTCAGACTTGCATTCTCAGACTTGCACTCTCAGACACTTGCACTTCCGCTAGCAACGTCACTTGCAGTCTTTAATTTTTTTATTTTGTTCTATTTATTGATTACTTTTTGTTTGAATCGCTCAACATTTTACAACAGTAGCCAGGTGGTGAAAACAAGAAGTCACTTGCAATAGCCACTTGCAATCTCCGATACCTGCGACGTCACTTGCAATCGACACAAATGGTGCGTGTTGCCAATGGATACAAGACGCTGTGGTGATTAAACGATTAAAACTAAATTAGTACAATAACATACAGGGTCCTGCAAGAAAAAGACAAGACCCACAAATCTGTCGCCAACAGCAGAATATGAACGCAATGCACAAAGTCTCTCGTAAGCGTTTTCCTCCTGTAGAAAAATATAAACACTTAACATGGCGTAATGTATTAAGATACATTAAGTTAAATTAAAAGATAAAATTCGATATAGAGTTATTATTTAATGTACTACAAGGCAAACAGATGGCTATGAACACAATGCGCAAACTTTCACTTGTCCTCCCATACAGCAAAACGCTTAATGTTTTATAATAAAGACAATACAGTAGCCTATATGTCTTGTTGTTGACTCAAAGTATATACAGAACAGCAAATATGAACGTGCATTTTGAAATGCATTAAGTGATTTTAAAAGGATCAACTGGCAAGCAGGCAAGCAGACGAGCCCAGAACACAATGCGTTAAATTGCACGTTAAACATTTTCCTTCCATAGAAAATCATTATAAATAAAACATGTAATGTAGCTTAATGGACAAAGACAATGGTATAAAAGAGCTGTAGACAGTTTATTCTATATGGAAAAACGCTTTACACAAAACTGTGCGTGTTGCATTTATTCTGGGCTCACCTGCTTGCCTGTACATATTAGTTATGTATATTAATAGAGGAGCATATTGAGTTTGGCCTTTATCATCTTAGTCCATTATGCCACGTTTTGCGGTATGGGAGGAAAATACTATATACATATTCATTATATTAATACATTTTATATTTAATTTGATATTTTAATAGCATCTTAATACATTAAGCCATGTTAAGTGTTTATGTTTTTCTACAGGAGGAAAACGCTTAGCGACAGACTTTGTGCATTGGGTTCGTATTCTGCTGTTCTGTGGCCACGGATTTGCAGGTCTTGTCTTTTTCTTGCAGGACCGTGTATGTTATAGTACTAAATTAGTTTTAATCGTTTAATCACCACAGTGTCTTGTCTCCATTGGAAACATGCACGATTTGTGTCAATTGCAAGTGACGTCGCGCAGGTATCGGAGAGTGTTTTTTCTTGTCTTCACCACCTGGCTACTGTTGTAAAATGTTGAGAGATTCAAACAAAAAGTAATAAAAAATAGAACAAAATAAAAAATAAAGCCTGCAAGTGACGTCGCTAGTGGAAGCGCAAGTGTCTGAGAGTGCAAGTCTGAGAGTGCAAGTGCGAGGCTGCAGCCAGACCCTTCTCGGGAAAGACGTCTTACGTAACAAGACCTCAAACCATCATGATGTTCATCTGAACTTGTCTCTCAGCTAAACACTGTCTACAGCAGTTTTTTTGTGTGAATGCTAGTAACTGGCAACTATAATGAACTCTCATTTTGAAACCATGCTGGGCAGGTCAATTTAAGGAACCCCATCAAAGTTTCTATAGCAGCCAGACATGGATTGAGCGATCGTTTAGGGCACAGCTTGGTCCAGACAGATCACTGTGGTTTGGATATGTATGTGTTTGTGTGAGTAATGTTAATGTTTGCAGATGCCTAAACCTAACAATGCAGCCGCCATAATTTCAGTTATCATCATATTAGAGTGCTGCACGAATAAGAAATAAGATAATTATTTGATGTCTTAAAATCTTCCAGAGAAGTTCATACTTACTGTGTCCTAAACAGTGCAGGGGCGACGTGAAAATATGACAAAACAAGCAAACTGTCCAACAAAGCAAACACGAAAATGGGGCGTGACGCAACGCAGTCAAGCTTACAACAGCCAATCAGAACAGTTCTCTCTTTCTGCTAGCAATGTAGCTAAAGAGCGTTAAACTTTAAATTTAATTTATACATACCTCGTATTTTCATAACACTGTGATGCTTCAACTCACGGCATGTTTTTATGTTTTTCCTCGTGGAACTTGAGGGAAATGCGATGTTTTTATCCGACTGTAGACCTAAAATCAAGTATCTCCTCAGCCATGTTTGATGTAAACATAGGCTATTTCTGTCCAATAGAATTTTGAGGGGGCGGGGTTACGTGTCGTAATGCTTTTTAAGATAGTTTTGTAAATTTAACTGTGATGTTGGTTCAAGTAATTTGGTCAGAATAAATAAATAAGAAGTAAATGTTTTGTTTTTTAGTACTGTGTAATTGATGCAGTTTATAATGTTTTTTCCCCCCGCAAGTTTTCCCATGAACTGTGGTTTTACTAATAAAATAGGCTAAGAAATAAAAACTGTGGTTACACAAAATGGTAATCAATCCACTTTTTACACATTTACTATAATAAAAACATAATATTCATAAGGGTTAGTCACCTCAAAAATCACCTAAATTTTTAAAGGTGTCAGTAAATCTCTAAAGGCCCGTTCACACCAGAAGGTTAACTATAAAGATAATGATAAAGATATAGTTGTAAAAATTGTTCTCAATATTAAAGAATAGCAGAGTCCACACCACAACTATAACGATAAAGGCACAGACAAACGATATCGTTGGAATCACTTTCAGAATGATTTTTTTTCCAGCTGATGAGCGATAGAAATATTGACAGCCAATCATAATCAATCCTGCTGTCACGAGCTCGAGAAGTTAAAGAGGTAGACGAGCATGCGCTTAGAATAAACAGACGATATCGTCCGCTGGTTAGGATGCTAATATCGTTATCTTTATATTTATCTTTATAGTTATCGTTCTTGGTGTGAACAGGCCTTAAGTGATTAAATATATCACTATGTGTCATCAATATTACACAGATACATAGAAACTACATTTAACATTTATAATTACAACCATGTGTGATCAATATCAATTGGCTTAGTTATCATCTAAATCCACAGTTTGCTCCCAAAAAAGCAAACAGGACATTGTGATTGCATTCATCTTAATAAGTTCACCTGAAACATATATTTGAAGTAGACTATAAAAAATGTATTGTCTCTCATCGCTTGCTGTGTTTACAGTTGGTTGAGAGAAAATTCAGATAGGAAGAGACATAGAAGAGATTAAATTTATCACAATGCTCCTGGTTAGAACACGGTGTAATAAATGCACATAGTCATACTGATCTTTGGGACAGTTGTCTGTCAAACAAATACAAAAAACGTATTCACTTTATTAGTATCAGTTACTGCAGATTGTGTTTTGTTGTACTCGTTCATTCTACGGCATATACAAGAGAAGATCAGTGTTGATAGAAAACTGGCAGTTACAAAAATAACATGATACAGATATTTGCTTGAGAAAATACAGTTTGATACATAAAGTCGTGATAGATGCTCCTTTAAAAGGTCATAGAATCAGAATTTCAACGTCTGTGACTCAAAGTTCGTTTTCTGCGAGTCTCTGTCCTTGCAGTCTCTAGTTTGTTGTGCTTAGTTCCCCTGGGTTTTAATCCAACACCAAAGTCTCTCTCTGGGTGCCTTCTAAAGGTGCATCAAAAGTCCAAAGCGATCCAAAAAGGCTGTCCTGATTCGCTCAGGGTTGAACAGTTCACATCCGCCTCGTCTTTTCAGATGATATCACTCAATAGCTGTCGTGCAGTCTGAGTTATCTGATTGGATGCCATGGCCCTCCTCTGCTTTCTTTTATCCAGTGCCACGCTCACCTTATATCTGTTGTGAAGAAAAGACCTTGTTAGGCTTTGACAGCACACCTGCTGAACGGACAAAAAAGCGGCATACAATGAAAGTCTATGGGGCAAAGGGGCAAAGGATGGAAATGGCCAAAAAATGGATATTATTTTATAGCTTGTAATTTGTTTCTTTGTTATTTGTTCTTCAAGGTCTATAGGGCAAGTGTTGTAAATATTGGCTAAATATTATTATTTTTAAGTTTGTAATTTGTTTTTTTGTTCTTAATTTAAGTATAGTCATTAATTAAAATATTATTAAAATGATTACATTTATTATTAAACATCATATAAAACTATATATATATATATATATATATATATATAACTGACAAAAAAGCTTGTAATTTTTTTTCTTCATTTTTTTACTGACTTTATTTGTCTTTAATAACTGTCATTAATTAAAATATTATTAAAATGATTACATTTATTATTAAACATCATATAAAACTATATATATATATATATATATATATATATAACTGACAAAAAAGCTTGTAATTTTTTTTCTTCATTTTTTTACTGACTTTATTTGTCTTTAATAACTATTAAAATAGAATTAAAATTATTACATTTTAATATAAACGTTTTAAAAATAGTACCAAATATTATATAAAATATTATAAAAATAACTAATAAAAGCCTTGGAGGCTACACATCATTTGATTTTAATATTAAATTATGATATATATATATTTGTTTTATAAAAGTTGTTCATTTTTCATAATGTTTACTTACAATCATCTTGAATAATTATTAAAATAATATTTGATATATATATATATATATATATATATATATATATATATATATATAGAAAAGAAAAAAAATAATACACTTTTTTAATGTAAGCATGTATTCAACAGTAGATAAATTTTTGCTATGGTATGAAGAAGCGTCAGATATTATCGTACCATTATGTCCCTTCTCCCGACCTTTGACCCATGAAGTCCACTTGGCTTTCATCTTACTGACCATTAGTCTAAATATAGAGTCTGTAAATCTTGCCTGCCGCTTTTGGACAGTTTATCTCATTTTCCATTTCCTTTTCTTTTTTTAGCCCTCGAACTAGGCTGGCCTTTGAGCGGAGGAGAGCGAAGGGAAACGACGGGGCAGGAAAAAAGGGTGGAGAGGGGAAAATAAAACAAGGTGTGGGAAAGCAAATGATTAAAAGTGTACCCGTGTGTATGCGGGACTCTGAGTGATGTTTGGACGTGCAGACGCACTCGAGATGATCCTCCAGCTGCACCTGCACCTCCCGGAGCTTCGGCCTCCTGCGTACGTACTCCACCTTGGCCACCTGAGAGAGAGAGAGAGAGAGAGAAAGAAAGAGTGAGTGTGGGAACATCCTGAGCTGCACGCACACACACTCATAACCCTATCAACAGTGTATTTTTCCTCTGCCGTTCCAGAGGTGAGATAAGGCGAGAGCTAAATGTGACTCGTCGGTTTCCTGTAATGCAGATGAGCCGCCTCAAACCTCTCTTTCTAAACACACACACAAACACACACACACAATTCACATCATACTGACAGACTCCTTCCCTCGCTGCCAACTCAGCTGCCCTGCAGGCCCATTTATACAATACTTTATTCAGGTCTGAACACTCACACACATAGCTGGCGAGATAAACGCAATAGAACACACCCCGCAGCCGCAGCGTTACAGACAGATATTTGCAGTGGTTAACTCAAGGTTAGGGTTATTCGTTAACTAGCCGCGGAAGTCTGGCCTGAAACGCTTTCTGTGTGCTCAGCGGCCCTGAAATTCTCACTGACATTGTCCTCCCTTTGGCACGTCCTACGCCTCGCTCTTGTTACATTTGAATTTGCGAAATGTGAAAAGCTTTACATGCTGAAAATGAGCTTGACAAGTGGCAAACACACGGTCACGGCCTAGTGCGCATGGGGATTTACATCAACAAAACATATTTTTATTATACAGTAAATGTGCTCAGTGAAGGAGAAAGAAGGTAAAAGGTCATAGTTATGTTTCATTTAAGTATCAACTTTCAGATGTTTCACCTATAGTTCCTACAAAAAGGTACAAATGAGACCATTTTTGACATGCAGTAAAGGCACTTTAAAATGAATGGGAATTGGGAATGGCATGACACAGATAACTTGGTCTGGGAAGAATTAGATAAGAAACATCTGAGTTCATCCTGAGATTTTTTTATGTATGGCTGCAGAGTTTAGTATCTTGGAAAACTGTGCACAGAAACTTGAGATCTCTTCTTAAACTCTGGAAGAGACACATTACTGGGTTCTTTTCTGCAGGAGAAACATCTGAGAAGCAGGAGACCTAAGCAAAATCCTCTATTTGCTCTTCTTTTTTTCTCACTGCTGTCTAGGAGAAACAACTAGGAGAAACAACTGAGGTTTCTAACAGAGTCAATGCGCGGGACTCGATGAAGGAGAGGAAGCGGCCAGAAGAAGCAGTTAAATATAGCAAAATTACTAACCTAGTTGAGTATTAGGCTGTTAGGCTGTCAGGAGCACCCCATTATAATCATCAGTCAGAATACTGTGCTAAAGGACATCATTATCGATTGGAAAGTTACATTAATACATTTAGCAGACAGATATTCACATGAATTTATTGTACAGGGAGGGAGGGAGCTTGAGTAGAACTGCTAGCACCTGTTAGGCTGTCAGGAGCACCCCATTATAATCATCAGTCAGAATACTGTGCTAAAGGACATCATTATCGATTGGAAAGTTACATTAATACATTTAGCAGACAGATATTCACATGAATTTATTGTACAGGGAGGGAGGGAGCTTGAGTAGAACGCAACACAAAAATATGAGTCAGCCCAAAAACGCAATAGTGTGTTCCCCAGTGGTTGGGTTACCGCTGGGTCAAAACAACCCAATAGCTGGGTTTGTCCCTTTTTAACCCAGCATTTTTTAGAGTGTAGAATTTTTCAAAGTAGGCTACTAATTTTGGTATTTAGGCACTTTAGAAAATTACTTTTAATATATTTGTATGAATTATAGGTTTGTTACATCTTGGGTATTTCAGTCATTTTAAAAGAAATAACAACATTATGTGCAAACAAATTGCAATGAGGTGGTTGTTTTGCAACAAGGTGGACACAATTCTGTTAATAACAGTAGACCTGGTAAAGAAGTGACAGGTACAAGAAAAAGGGAGAGACAGAGATACTGGAGAAAATTAAAAAAAAAAGTGGGAAAGTGAAGGTGCAGTTCAAGAAAAACCTTTAATTGTTTTTCGCGGCCCTGACTAAAGATTTAGACCTTTTTATGTGATGGTCATACAAATAGACTAGGGTTGTCCGTGTTTCAGAATTTGTTGTGGGTGTACGTGATGGGTCTGGATGAGTGTGAGATTTCCTAGCTTGAAATTTTGTCCCAGTCCGCCCCTGATATATATATATGTTTGAAAAGCATTTAATGATTTTGATTGAAAGCATTTAAAATAATTGTACACATTTTAAAATAATAACAATTTAATAATTTTTATTTAAAACATTTTATAATTTTTATTTTAAGATATCTATACATTTTATAAAGTATAAAAAGTATATATAAAAAGTAAAGAAATATTTTATATTTTATATTTATTCTTTATAAAAAAAAATTTAAATTAAAGTGTGAAATTATTTAACATTATTACATAAATAGTTGTATTTAATAATATTTTATATTATACAAACACACATATATTTATATAAAATGTATAGCATGTATATATAAAATGTTTATATAAAATGTAATATAAAAACATTATATATTATCTTGTTTTATATATATTATTTGTAAAAATGTAAAAATAAAATCACATTTGTAAAATTATTTAACATAATTACTATTGATAATAATAATAATTTGAACATTTGTGCATATAAAATAACAATGCATATATTATGTATATATATAGAAATGTTATATAATATTTTATAATGATCTATATTTAAATTCTTTAAAAAGTTATATATTAAAAATGTTATATGTATTATTCATAAAAAATATTTAAAAATTTAAATTTGTTCAAATACATATGTAATTTTATATTTTGTATACATTTTTATATTTAGTATTTTTTAAATATTTAAAACAATTATCATTAATTAATAACGTAAAAATTTTAAATATCAATTATGAATATCAATATTTTTAATAATAATATTTTAAAATACTAAATATTATATGTATTATAAAAATTATATTTAAAAATTACAATTATTTAAAGTAATTATAATTTAATAATGTCAGTATTTAAAATAGAATTTATAAATACTGTATATCCAAAATATAAAACAAAACATATGTACACAATTTATATTTTACAGGTAAAGATGTGTGTGTTCTCACCTTCACGGTCCTGTGGTGCTTTTTGGACGGGTGGCAGCGCATGTTGCTGGTGTTGCAGCAGCCTGAGCATCGTCTCACCTCCACACACGGAGGCCAGATCAGGAAGTTGGCGGCCGTGGGATCGACCTGACTGCGTGGGATCTCGTAGATCACTGTGCGAGTCTTACAGACAGCAGGCACTGCCTCCTCTAAACACACAACAAACCCATAAACACACAGAACAATCACGGGAGCTTTGCAACATGCATGTAAATACTTGTATGTGCTTTTTTACCAATGCTTCTCTTGCGTCTGGAGTGAGAGTTCTTGAGGTGTCTGCTGTCATAAAGATGCTCCTTATGGTAGCCTTGTTTAACGTCCTCCAGAACCTCATTCTCTGCACCGAAAGAATGAAGCAAAAAAGTCAACAGTGCGACATATTTTGACTTGTAGATCCCTCCCTCACTATTGTCAAGAAAAAGCGCCCTTGAACCTCTTTGTGAATGGAATTGAAAAATCAAGAAAACCCGGTCTGATTACTACTGTAAATAAAGAATAAAGGTGTCTGCCAACCTGCCAGCACACTTCATATGAAAAACTTCCTCCTTTACACACAGATCACAAAGCAAATATATGCACCGCCGGAGGACACGCAGAGAAAACCCAGACTCAACAATAAGATGTTCGGAAAGGATTGCGTCGGTGAAAATGCTTTAAGGACAGCAGGATTGTTAGTCTGACCAAAGTGTGCAGTATTTAATCATGCTGTTCCGCAGAGCCATTCAGCCATACAGCGGGACGACGGGGGACAGAGATGCCCCTGTTGTTGCCCCCGGAAACCAGCCCAATGGAGGAGGAGGCTGGTTATAATTCAGGGTTGAGAACCGTGGCCGACCGACCCGCTCGGCTTTTCACACAGTCGTTAGCGGAGCAACAGACCTCACAAACGCAAACACTACTTGAGCTTCAGCCTCTTTTCTCTCCCAAACACACACTCGCACGCAGAGACGCACACAAACTGAGGAATTCGACATGAATAATACATTACAGCAGCACTGGCATTCAGCCGCACTCAACTCATAAAGGCGGCATGACAACAGTATAATGGAGAGAGTCTCTTGACCTCCCTTAGGCACCAGCCACACAGACGCAGCTGTTTGCATTTCAATTACAGCGCTTATGGGCCAAATCGAATTTGAGACTCATATAGTTATGGCTGCAGCATTTCCTCATTAGATGCGCTGGAAGTTTATATTTGAAGCACCGAGGAGATTTTAACCCTTTAGGTTGGGTCGGTAAATTCTTGCTAATTCTTTGCCATCAAAAGTTTCCAATCAGGGTCAAGTGAACCGAAACCAACCAAATCGTACTGGGCTGCCTGCCTTAAATATGATTCGTGGGGTGTGCAAAACGACATATTTTACTGCGCGAACAACTAGTCGATTTTGAAAATATGTAGTTTGCATATGTAGTTGCACATCTTTCCAGTATAAATGCAGCTGGGGATGACGAATTACGATTGAGAATGCAAATAAATGCAAGAAATGGGACCAGTAGCAATGCAGTGTATGCAAATATTGCAATGACATCATCACTGTCAGTTAGATTTTAGATGGGATTGGATTGAATAACAAACTTTCTATAACAGATTTTTTTTTATAATTCTGAATTCTAAAAAGATTTTTTCTTCCTTTTTTTGTGCACAAAACAAACACTTGTCAACAAAAAGGCTGAAATTTCTAAGTCTGAATGAATTATCGCTCTATAAACACTTCATGATTGGACTACTTTTTAATTAAAAAAAAAATTAATGATATAGTTTACTGGACTTGCATTTTCAGGGTCTAAAGGCCCGTTCACACCAAGGACGATAACTATAAAGATAACGATGAAGATATAGTTCTAAAAATCGTTCTCAATGTTAAAGGGGTCATATGATGCGGTTTCAAGTTTTCCTTTCTCTTTGGAGTGTTACAAGCTGATTGTGCATAGATAAGATCCCTGAAGTTGCAAAGACTAAAGACTCAAAACCAAATAGATATTCTTTATCAAAGTTAAGACTCTGCTACCCCCCCCTAAAACGGCTCGTTCTAACACGCCCCCACATATCTACCTCACTATGTGGAAATATTTGCATAATGTGCCCAAATGTGCACGCAAAGAAAGAAGGCGTGGTTTCAGTAACCGCTGTTAGTGTTGAAGCAGCATGTCAGGGAGATGCTGTGTTTCTAGGCAAAAGCAAAAGCACTTTATTTGGCCTTCCGGAAGTAGATGCATTTAGGAATCTTTAAGATTACTTACAACAGAACAGCAATGCATTTTATGGACGACCGTTTCGTGAACCTAGGAGAGGAGGTCATTCTGACTTTGCTATGACAATCTGGCGCTTCAGAATCAGCTACTGTTTTGCTATTAGTTTAAGTATTTGCTATTGACTGTTCAAATGCGGAGTTTTGCGCATCGTGTGTGTGTGTGTGTGTGTGTGCGCGTGCGCGCACGTGCGTGTGTGTGAGAGAGAGAGCATTGCATCACATCACAGTAGAGTCAGCTGTCTTAACCGCTGCTTGTGTACTGCATCATTACTGTGTCTGTTCCTCTTTCGGGCTTGAACTGATAGTAAAACTAATGACATTATTTACTGTCTTTACATTTATTTTGAAAGATGAAGCTCGCGATTATGGTAAGGGGCGTTACATTTCCGACGAGTGCTTGCGGTGTTCGGCCAATCACAATGCACTGGGTCAGCTGGCCAATCAGAGCAGACTGCGCTTGTCGGAAGGAGGGACTTTGTAGAAAACGAAGCGTTGGAGAAAGGCGGGGCATAGAGGACCTACAATAATGTACAGTATTTGAAAAATAATGTTTTTTGAACATTAAAGCATGTCAACATATTCTGTTACACCAAATACACCAAATAATGATCTTTAAAAAAGCCATCATATGACCCCTTTAAAGAATAGCAGAGTCCACACCACAGCTATAACGATAAAGGCACAGAGAAACGATATCATTAGAATCACTTTCAGAGCGAATTTTTCCAGCTGATGAACGATACAAACATTGATACCCAATCAGAATCCATCCTGCTATAACGAGCTTGAGAATTTAAAGCATGCCTTCCCGCAGACAAATCTCTCAAAGGATAAACTCTTCACAAGTCCGACAAGTTCACAAAGTCGACTCTATGAAAGCAAACGAACTCCTTTTAATACGTTCTTGTCCTTTTAATACACTCAATTAAGTCAAACCCACAAATCAGTGCGCGAGATAATTTCGCAGAAAAAGAAAACATGAATGAAGCGATCCTTTCACCGCATCAGAATTTTATTTGGAAAAAAAAAATCCATATGTACTCCTATAGGCTCAAAATCGTGGGACAAAGGGTTCACATTTATCCAAAATAGTCCATCTTTATGCACCGTCCACAGTGCGTCCTCACATAAAAGTGGTTTGGTTCAAACTTCAGCAGGTCTCGCAGCGTGGAAAGGAAGCCAATTTTAGTCAGTGATTTTATATGTACAGAGCCCCACTTGTTAATTTATGTCCACATTTTGGTTAAACTGTGGCAACGTATTAATTTATACCCACAACTTATTACTTGTTCCATTGTTTTAGGTATATTGTGGCCACGTTCTACTTATTAATTCCCATGATTTACCTAAAACAAGGGAACAAATTAATAAACCATGGGAATACATTTTTAATTTGTGGCCACAATAATTTGTCAACCTGATTTCACGGGAACATTGAACTATTTCACTAGGTGCCGTTTTGTATGAATTTGCACAATGTGAATTGTACGAAAACATAGAATTTTTAGAATAAGCATGAAAGTACACCCCTGAATATTAAAAAGACACAAGAAGATCGTACAAAAGTACTAATTCATACAAATTATTCAGTTTGCCAAAATTGATACGAATTACCATGACATTGTGTTGCATGTCATATGCTCTTTACAGATGCTATTTGTTCTCATTTGTCTCATATTCGAGCATGTTGTGCCAACTTTGAAAATGTGGAGGCATGAATAAGAATGAAGAATTTGGTGTCCCAAAGTATTGGCTCTTATGAAAGTGAGTGAAAGTTGAGCAAGTGAGAAATAGCGTGTCTTGAAATGCCATGCAGCATCGGTGCCAGAACAGTGGGACCAAAATATGTTCATCTGTAATGGAGCTTGGCAGTGGAATGACAGCAAAAGTTATTTCATTCTTTATATATATATCACTCATTAGTGGATATATATATATATATCACTTCTGTGAGATACTGTACATGAAATTACCCCATAGCAGATCTATACAGGTGGAGCTGGGGAAGGTGGAGGATTTCTGATGCACTGCAACTGCTACAGCAAGCACTAGCCAAGTATTTTAATGTTGAGTAGCAAGCTCACTGACTGCTAATGCAAAAGAAACCAATCATCTGCATCATGTGAATAATGAAGTCTTTAATTACATCATTACATAATGCGTACTGTACAGATATTTTAGCGTATGTGTCATATAAGTATACTTTGGACTCTATACATAAGTATATCCGAAGGATAATACCTTAGGTTGGATAGAAACCATCTAGAACACCCTTAAAACCACCTGGCAACTCCCTAGAAACCACTCATTACACTTGTATGCTAACAGATAGTTTTGCTCAACTAAGCACCACTCACATTTTCTTCTAAATAGTTTTAGACCGAAAACTGCCATCACCTCAGTGAAGGATAACCCCCATATACTGTATAACATACATGAAATCACCCCCCCCCCCCCCCCCCCCCCTTTGACTTTGCTATTTCTCTCCCAAAGTTATAAGAATTAAAAGGGTATTTTAATCTTGATTTCTAGAGGATCTCTTAGTCCACTCACACAAGCGCTCAACAACATGGGCGTCTGTTGTTGTTGCATCTCCAGTAATTTGTTAATGTTGTTCCAATTCTTCAGCTTTATTATCCACTGTAAAATGGTCCAGCCGCATTGTGGACAAACTAATTATTGCAAAAAATAAAGCATATAAAGTATGCACGGTTCTAAAAAATCGGGCTGTGCGGGACAATACTGATAACAAAATTTAATTATGTCACACATACTGTACAGCTATGTTAGCATACATGTAAAAACTGAAGTATACTCTGGGCTTTACCCAAAGTATTCCATTTCGCTGCATATCTCATCTCTCATTGTTTGTGCGCAGCCGTGAATGACACCACTAGGTGTAATAGAAACCATCATGAGTGCGTTCCACTTCACTTTAAGACACGCTCTCGCAAATGTCCTCAATCACTTCCCATCAGGGAATCCCTGCCGCCATTTTGAAGTGAGTTCCACTTCATCAAATGGACGAGGAAAGTTTATATGGACAGACCCTCAAAATAGTTTTAGACAAGAAATTGGCAACGAAGGTAGGCGTCAATACCAGGGAAACCATCTAGAACACCCTTAAATCACTCATTGCACTTGCTAATTTTGAGAGTCACATTTCCTTCTAAGTAGTTTTAGACAAAAAATTGCTCGTACTTGAATTCCCACCCCGTCTCCTCACCAAAATAACCATATATGGAGCTTACAATGCCTACTTTTATAATGAATAACCTCATCTGCACATTATTTCCATGTGCATATTCCCACCCAGAAATTGTGTAGACACATGAATTTCTATAGGCTGTATTGAATTGTAACCTATATATGACATGGTTGGGAATATCCATTTGGAACTGATATGCAGACGTGGTTGTGCATATTAAAACTAGGCGTTGTAAGCTCTATATATGGTTATTTTGGGGAGGAGACAGACAGAGATTATACATCAGGCTAATCTATGAGAAGTTTTATAGATAAAGCCGAAGCACATGGAAATAGATAAGTGCTTTCCTGTTTTCCATTTTGATTCCTTATCTCCTATACTCTTCTTCTTCTTTATATGCTAAAACAAAGGCTCTTTCTTTCATTGCTTCCCCCTGCTCTCTGTCTGCTGTTGTATTTTTTCCCGTGTCCTTGATCTTGTGTGTAAGATTAGTGGTCGTCGTGGCATTGTTCTGTTTATCATCGAGCAGATGTGCCGAGCACTGCTGAGTGGCCCACATCTTCCTCTCTCCTTCCCCTTCCCTCTTCCTCTGAGTGACAGTGATGAAGGTATTTGGGTAAACAGGACTCTGTGTTGATGGATGGGTCAGTAAGCAGCTGGTGTGTGAGATCAGCGGCAGCCGTATGACAAGCACCTGCAAAAGACTCAGAGGAAACAAGCACCAAACACACACTTGTTCATTCTTCTAATCTATATTTAGAGGTTTGTTGTTTAGATGTTTGTTTAAAGAGTTCACCCAAAAATGTAGTTTCTGTCCATGTTGATTCATTTTAAACCTATATCATGTACTTTCTTCGATGGAATACTAAAATAGAGATTTTGAAGAATGTTCACGCTGCTCTTTTCCATTTAATAACTTCACATATATAGTTTGATGTCATAGGATTTTAGAATGTTTCTGAAAAAAGTCTCATATGCTTACAAATGCTATATTTATTTGATCAGAAATACAGTAAAAAGTTATATCGTAAAATGTTATTATATTTAAATTTTAAAGATTTATTTTTGGCATTTTCACCTTTATTATGATAGTACAGAGCAGAGTTGACAGGTAGAGAAGTGGGAGAGACAGGGGGTGGGATCGGGAAAGGATCGCAGCGCAGCGGTGCTGTATGTTGGCACGCTGCCCACATGCAAGGCTGTTGGCGCTGACATAAATATTTAAATTTATTTAAATAACTGTTTATTGGAATATATTTTAAAATGTAATTTTTTTCTGTAATCAAAGCTGAATTTTCAGCATCATTACTCCAGTATTCAGTGTCACATGATACTTCAGAAATAATTGTAATATGCTGATTTGATGCTTCATATTTCTGTGGAAATTGATGAATTTTTTTCAGGAGTTTTTTTTTTTTTTTTTTTTTATAGATTACAAATACAATGTTTTGTAGTAATATAAATGTCTAAAATAATATTTATTCAGAATAATTTAGAACCTAATTTCATTCGCATATGTTCAAATATGGTGCATGAAGACAATCTGCATAAAATCTCCTTTTGTTTTGCTTGTAAGCCAAACACATAATATTAAAAAACACAATACCATTAAACAATGACAGAAAATAATTTTGGGTGAACTATGCTCTTGCCTAAATAATTTCCTCAATTTACTGACAAATAAAATTGACAAGCTTGCGCACTTCTTTTGAAGCCACACCTGTTTTCTGCTCTCATTACGATGAATGACATTGTTCTCAGAAAACAAACTCTACAGTGCATGCACCAGTGCAATGCATTATTACCAATGAAAGGTGTTTTTAGCCCACATGATGCAATTCATGATTTTTCTGGGTTGTTTGGGGGTTTTTTTACACGCAAGATTAGTGCAATTAGCAACGTGGTCACGAGCGCAGGGGCTTTGCGAAGAGTATTGTCTGAGTTGTATCGCTCATCCACAGTGTCTTACAGAGAGGAAAGAGATAGGCGTGAAAGCGCAGTGTTACTCACTGGAATAATGAGGTCATTTTTGTCTGATCGCACAATGCTTCCAGTCTTCCCCCGACATTAAGATGAAGCTCTATTGGCGGGAAGCGACAGTATTGTTCTCACTTTAGTGTTAACGGTGTGTGTGTGTGTGTGTGTGTGGGAGCGATAATAACTACAGCTAGGTGACATCATCAGCACAGAGAAAACCCCTCATTAGGGAGTGATTCATCTTATTAGTAACATTTCAAAAATGCAGCACGTGGGGCCCAAAGAAAGGGTACTCGCGGTCAGCTGATGACGGCGAGCTTAAATACACAGACAAACACACGCACATGGCCACACACCTGTGCAGGTGAGCTTTTTAAGCTGCTTCATTTGAAGCCTGGTCAGATCTGCCCACAATAATAGATCAAAAAGGTCTCGCTGCCTAGCCCAAGCTTTTATGAGAGCATAAAGTGCGTACGTGTGAAAGAAAAGAAAAAAGTTGTGACGGCGGTACAAACATTGCTTTCTAAAGACAGGTGCACTGATGAGCATATAGGCCTATACGTTTCTCACAGTACGTGTGGGCGATGTATTGATCATTTATAAAAGATTCTATGTTTGTGATGATATTTTAAAACACCTTTTTCCAATTTTTCAATAACACTGTTTTTCCATGACTTGTGAGTACAGTACTATGCGAGTGTGAAGACTTTTTAGCGTTAAATAGGCCTATTTTAATAGCATCTCTTAACTGTCCATTTTAATTAATGTTCAAAACTCATTCAACTCAAGACTCAATGATACACTTGCAGCATCACTTAGAAATGTTCGTGGAAATCCCTCTGCACTTTAAAATCATAGTAGAAAAAAATATATTTAAGTGATTGTTGCTTATTACCATTTATTGTTATATTGGGGCATACAATTTTTTAAATGTATTTTACGTCTTGCTTTAAGCATTTTGCATACTTTATAAAAATGGTTGTTTGGTCAACCTAAAAAAAACTTTTTAAATTTATACATTTATCCTTTATGCCATTTTGATAAAATAGTTGAGATGTAGGCCAACACAAATATCATAAAATTAGCAAATATAAATGTATATAAAAAATATAAATAAATTATTATTTTTTTTTTATAAAATATACAATATTAGTTAATGAGCCTTATGTAGGCTTACATACATTGTCAAATGGCTGTAAAATATATACTTTTAGAATATATATAATATATAAAAGATGAAAGAAGTTCTAAAAAATGCAGTAAAATATAAAGAAAGTTGACTTACTCAAATATTGTCAGATGGCATAAAATTTATTTGCCATCATTAAATATATTACAGATTATATATAGCCTATATATTTTTTTTTAATCTTTTACTGTATATTTTTAATAAGCACACTAAGCATATAGTGAAAAAAATATATAAAATATATTTTGGTGTATAACAAGCATGAACCTCTAAGATCTGTAAGATCAGAGAATCCACAAAAGCCAAAGTTCAGTAATGATAGTGTGAGTGTATTTATGTTGAGATTGAGCGCAGAGAGTGCAAGTCTGTGCTTGTGAGTGTGAGATGGAATGACTTACAGTAACAGCCTGTTACAACAGTATGAAAATAAAAAAGTCTGTCTCTATCACCCTGAAGAAGAATTAAACTATTCTAATGCTCAGTGTTGAACATTTTAGATACATATGTGGGTGAAAGACAGTAAATCAGGCTTGATTTGTAATACCTGACAAAAGACAGTCACATATGTGCTGGGAAATACAGTCATGCATAGCTCTGGTCTATCTTAGATAAACCAGGTTTGGCTTAACCGCACAGGTTATCTTTGAACTGCACACCTGTTAGTACTTTAAAGGCTGGCAGGTGAGTGGAGATGAAGGGGCGCTTGAGACGAGGGAGGGACGGAGCGAGAGGAGGAAGGAGAATGTGTGTGTAATGTTGGCAGTAATTGTCTCTTTGGCCTCGTGCCTGGTTTGTAATAGCACTACAGCAGTTTGAGCCAGTGAATGAGGACATGCTGTTACTGTAAATATCACAAAACAGAGCAGACGATCTAAACAGGAGGCCTCTCTGGCAGAGCCCTTCAGTATGAGCTGGCGGGGAGAGATCATTGTTTCTTGCTTCCTCTGTGTTATGACTAGACATTAAACTCTCAGGGTCTTTCACACACATTTGTGTACAAACACAATTTCTTATGTCTGGATTGCATGTGTAGATAAGTAAGGAAACTCGAGAGCATGTCTCAAATGTAATTTTTTAAAAATCATTTAAATCTTAATATAAGTATTTTTTTAAACATGCTGGAAAGGCAGTCAAATTCTTGATCAATTGCGCCCTCTTGTGTCCGTAGAGTACAATGCATAGACCACTTATACAAAATCATTAGATACATTTTTTTCTTTTCAGTTAAATCTCATAAACAGTTTAGGTGAAACTGATTTGCACGCACTCAAAAAAAAAAAGAGAAGAAGTTTGCTTGTTCAACAACACAATTCTGTAACATTTTTGTCATAATTTACTTTGTGTTTCATCCAAATAAATCTGTAAAATTTAAGTTAACTTCATAATTTTATGTTGGGACTACATTAATCATTTTTATTAACTTCACTGACTGAGTAGTAGATCTGCCATTCTTTTTTTTCTTTTTTTTGAGTGCATGTTGATTTTTGGGGCATTGTATGTTTAAAAGCATGATTAATTGTACCATTTTTAGCTTTGTTAATATAATGTAATATGTAATATTTTAAATGACATATGATTATATTAAAGCAAAAATGGTCGAATTAAATGAGTTCAATCCGTACATTTGTTTTGTGTTCATGTATGTTTACATTTTTATGTTAAAATAGAAATAAATCCTTAATCATTTCAAATCTCATGTAGAATTTTCTGTTTTCAGATTTAAGACTGAGCTGATTTTTGATAGATGTCAGTGTATTACTATGTATGGAAGCACAAACATTGTAGTCAAAATTATGATCACTTTTTAATATGATTGTTTTCTTTTATAATGAAAATGTGGATTTTAACACATTTTGTAACAGTAAAGTGCTTGATAAACCAAACTAAAATAAGTGTAAAGTAACAATTTAAAAAACATGCTCAAAACCTGGTAACATACTGTATATATACCTCTGAATTTTTGCATTTTGTATTCAGTCGAAAAGGTCTGTTTCAGGTCTTGTGATTCATTTAAAAAGATTATATATATATATATAAATATATATATATATATATATATATACAGTGGGGCAAAAAAGTATTTAGTCAGCCACCAATTGTGCAAGTTCTCCCACTTAAAAAGATGAGAGAGAGGAGATCTGGATGGAGGAATGGGCCAAAATACCAGCAACTGTGTGTGAAAACCTTGTGAAGACTTACAGCAAACGTTTGACCTCTGTCATTGCCAACAAAGGGTATATAACAAAGTATTGAGATGAAATTTTGTTATTGACCAAATACTTATTTTCCACCATAATTTGCAAATAAATTCTTTAAAAATCCTACAATCTGATTTTCTGGATTTTTTTTCTCATTTTGTCTCTCATAGTTGAGGTATACCTATGATGAAAATTACAGGCCTCTCTCATCTTTTTAAGTGGGAGAACTTGCACAATTGGTGGCTGACTAAATACTTTTTTTCCCCACTGTAAAACATAACAGCATAGTTCTGTAACATTTCTATCAATGATATGCAGTATAATATGACCTCAAAGTATTACATTGAGCTTTGTTTTTGATACGGTATTGTCATTAGAGTGTTTAGAGAATAACGTTTGTGAGGCGTCTCTCAAATCTGAAAGCAACTCTTTGTCAGTGCTGCTGGGAAGCTCTTCAGCTCAGCACATTTCACCTTCAGAGCGGATCCACGAACACATTCAGACTCGGCTGGCCAGCGCTCGACCCACGTGTCCTTACCCAGCATATACAGGTATCTGAGAGAGAAAATGCAAATGAACTGTGCCAAAAGAAAATAAAACCTTCCTTTTTGGGTGTTTAGTGCTTTTATGCTACTCACTTGTCGGTTGTGCTCCCTGCGTGCCAAACATCAGCAAACCGCCCAATGATCAGATAGTCCTGACCCTCTCTCAAACCAAGCCCCGTCCTACAACTTGCATGAGAGAGGAACATCCTCTTGTCATGTTTTTTCAAACCAACTTCTGACCCTGCATGGACAAATAAATGCATAAACATAGTAATAGCCAGAGCCAGCATAGTCACATTTAAATATATCTGCAAGCTGCAATTATATTGTTGAACACTGCCATCTTTCCTGTGATCAAAGATGAGTGTTTAGCATCATTGCTCCAGTCTTCAGTGTCCCATGATCCTTCAGAAATGATTCTGATATGCTGATTTGCTGCCGATATGTGTGTGTGTGTGTGTGTGTGTACACATACTAGTGTTCCCTCGGGTGTGTACTTCTGATGTCTTGGTAGTGCAGAAAAAATAAAATGTCACACAGAGGACAGGCGTAAAATGTGAGGAGAGCTAGTTGATTGTATTCTAGTAAATGAGAAGTAATTGCAGTGCTCTGGTAAACCGCTATAGAGTTGATGTCACTTAGAACCAGTCAATGCGGTTTACAGGTTTCATAGAAAGACAGTGTGCGCACCAAATATGTCACTCAACGCGAGAGGCATCATCACAAAATTATGACGTTTGAAAGAAGAGTGGCCTGATTAATGTGGGAAATAATGAATGATTGGCTAAGGTAACAAAACTCCCTTCTTTGGGACACACTATGCTTCTGCCTTTCCAAAAGCTCTGCCTAAATGTACATTTTCAATAAGCCATTCTGCTGTTTTGGGTCTGAAAAACATTTTTACACAGTTGTAAATGTGAGCCGGTGGATCAACAAAAAGCTAATGTGCCTTCTAAAGTTTAAACAATTAAAACAGTAAAATATTTTGATGTTTACATTAGTGTAATATATTATATTTTTGACTCATCCCTTTTCTTAAAATATGGTTTAAAGGCTGAAATGTGAATTTTATAATTTGTGTTTTTGTGAAAATCTATATCTGAACTGAAAATCATATTTTATGGTTTAATATTTGACCATAGACATATGCCTACCCCGCTCATACAGTATTAATTTTATTTGTGTAGATTCTCAGTCAATGTTCCCTCTAATATTTTTTCTTTCTGAGCAAAACTTTTCTCTACTGGGCGGACATTTCGGCCGCACCTGAGCAAAAACATTCTTTACAGACATGTATAGCACACATACAAAAAGTGTGTAACTTTTAACTTTAATGTGCTAATTATATTTGATTTGACCCTTGATGTAACTAAATGATACACAGGTTACCTGAGAAAACATTTTTTACAGTGCTGTGTTAAATTAAATTCTATTAAAAATCTTTTTTTTTTATCT